CTTTTTAACTTTGTTTGAAATAATGAATATTTATTTTCTTTGTCACTACATTTTCTCAGGTAGAGCACCTTTGTTCAGTTGGTGCTTGTTATATGGGAATCCCTGCATTTCCCTTGACACTTTATCTGATCAGTGAAACTGCAGGCCGCTCTTAAACAATACTCAAAATAAAACAATAAAAGCTTTTGATCAAGGTATTGATTTTTTAAAAATCATCACATTTTTGAGGCGGCATAATGAGGAAGTGCAACGAGAATACTTTGACATGTTTTTTTTCTTCTTTGTTGACAATAAAAACGGTTGAAGTAACTTATTGAACAAAGTTGGTTTGTGTTGTCATTGTCAGTTGGCTTTTATTTGAAAACAAATTAACCATAATATTAGATTAAACTAACATTTTTTGAAAAAATGAATATTGCCTGCCATCTTGCATGCCAAAGAAAAATAAATTAATAAACAAAACTTCTGTCACTTTCTGTTAGCACTCGGAGTAAATGTTATTAATGAACTCTCGGCTACTAAAACCAAAATTTAGCTCAATATCTATAAATTGACTGAGTTATGGATATTTCTGTGTTTAAGATTGATTAGTTTAATCACAACTCAAAAAGAAACATTGATTTGGTTTTAATAATAAAAAAAATAAAAAAATAAAAAGGAATCCTGAAATATTTTGCTAAAAGTCAGACAGAACAGTGAATACACACACACGGGCAATTGTATAAATATACAATTACACATTTACCAAGTAAAATGGTTAAAAAAAAACACTTGGAAATGTTAATAACATGAGTAACAGTGAGTGTTTTCTTGAAGAGAAGAAAATGCCCTTATTTTGAAAGGACAGGTGAGCTTTTGTAATGATGCCAACTTGAGTGCAAGAAAAATTAGATGCGAGTGAATATTTTTGCTGTCCCTCGTTGCAGAGCGTAGAGTAGACTTATAAATACTCGCCGTCTGGCCGTTCATTCAGCTTATCTTGTGAGTTGGATAACTTGAAAAATAGACATGCCGATTTCCACTTTGGTGTTTCTAGGTGTAAGAAAAGTTCATTTCAAACGTTGGGATGCTGCGTCAATATCCAAGATGGCCACCAATATGTAAACTGGACACCCCTGTCAT